AAAAAAAAAAAATTGCTTATTCGAGTGCGTGCAAGACAATGATATTTATGTGTGGTCGTAATGAAAGTAAATATATGAGATTGTATATATGACGCACATATGAAATTTCTTTTCTTGGCTTTTCACTGTAATGAATAAAAATCTTATATATTATATTCAACGCAGATTTTGCTATGAAAAGTTTCACTTCGCATGCATTTACATATTTGATTACTAACCCATCTTCACTGGTCTACTATAAATGTAATCACGGTAAGTCCAGGGACTTGTGCGTACATCATGAGGCGTTATGCGTAATTCATCAGCTAAAATTGGATTTCGAATTTCGAGTTTAGATTCCCACATTTTGCGGTTTGTCTCCACGCTTTTCATTGTTAATTCAGATGCTGAGTATGCGCAAAGTTCAATTTTCGTATGGCAGCAACAAAACACAAAATATTCGCGTAGCGAAGTATGCTGTACACATTCGCCGTCATCGATATGCGAAAATCTAGTCTCGGAACAAAAATAGCCATTTGATGCCAAGAACACGAGTGAATTCTTCAAGTTTAGATTTTTGTTATCCATTATCATGAAATTTTCTATGTTAATTATGATTTTTATTTATTTATTATGTTTCTGCTCTCTTATTTTGTTCGTGATTAAGAGTTTAAAATATAATTTATTATATATTTTATATTGCAGTGATAATTAAAAATGAAACAATGATTTAGTGGAACCAGTTCAATATTTTTTATATAGTGCGAATTTAATGTAGCAAATGTTACATCTCTTTATACGTGAAAAATCATTGCTAATAAATAATGATTATCGTCTGAAGTCGAATGACATCTGAGCGATTATTTAGTACCAAGCAATTATTTTACTAGAGTAAAAAATTAAATTCATTGCAAGAAAAAGTATTCATGTTTTGAGTGCTCATAGAACAATGAATTTTTTTTGGACAATGTGTTCTCGTCCTTTTATGAAAATTGTTTTTTTCAGGTAAGAAAATTTCATCTTGTTATAAAAAATATTTGAAAACTGGTTCAAATAGAATAGTACGTTCTCTCGCTCCGATGATTGTTTCATCATATCAATTTTATTCCAGCGCATTGCCCCGACGTGTACTTTTGACAGTGAATTCACATCCAGCATAAAAATACAAGCAGCACCTTTCAGTGTTATTTTCTAGATAAAACTGTTTTGTTGAACTGCATAGTTTAACATAACTGGTTTTTTATCAATTAGAAATATTATTCGAAGTACTCTTAGAATCTTGGAATACAGTTTTTCTATAAATTCTATTAAAACATTTTAAACATTTGTCAATAGTAACAAATTTGATTAACTATTAGCGTGAATTAATCACGGTGAAATCTTGAATCTGAAAATCAAGGTGCTTACTTCCTTTTCCCCATCTATATCATAACACAATTTTGAGTTTGCGGCTGGTTTTTTAAAATCTATTTCAGCAATTCGTTGCTTGTGATATTCTGTAACAAGATCCTCGAGTATTTCGTCTCTTTCTTTATCCTTAAAAAAGAGATGCAAAGAATGGGAAGTGGAGTATGATTGAAATAACCTCACGGTTGGCAGCATCTACTTATAAATTATAGGGATAAATGAAATGTAACACAATAAAATTAGTATGATGATTTGATATAGAATTATTAGTGAGCTGGTTTCGAATCTGTATTTTACCATTTCTTACTCATAAGTGAAAATAGTAAATCGTACCAAATAACTTCCGCAAAACTGACAACAGT